TTCCTAAGTGAAGTATCTATAAAGAATGGCAACACAAACACCACATGTGCTGTATTAACCAATGGGCACACAAGTACACAGAGGAAAGAAAAAGTCATTGGAAACCAAGCAGGGAGAAGTGGGGAGGAGGGGAAGGGTAGAAACCCACCTGACAGATGGATGGGCTCACTTACAGCCCTGGCTCAAGCCATGTATCAAAACATCTCTACCCCCTAAATATTTTGAAATAATTTTTTTTTTTGAGACTCTCACTTTTCACCCTTCGTAGAGTACTATGACATCACAGCTCACAGCAACATCAAACTTTTGGTCTCCAGATCCTGCTGCTTCAGTTTTTCTCTCTTTTTTTTTTTTAAGTAGAGATGGGAGTCTCACTCTTGCTCATACTGCTCTCGAACTCCTGAGCTCAAGCAATCCACCCTTCTTGGCCTTCCAGAGTGCTAGGATTATAGGCATGAGCCACCGTGTCCAGCTCTGAAATAATTTTTTAAAATAACAAATATGATTCTTTTTTTTTTTTTTTTTGGCTTGTACGAAAAGTCTTTATGGGGGGGCGGGTGTGTGGAGGCTGCAGAACAGCACCAAGGAGGAGAGAAAAGAGGGGAGAGAGTAGGGAAGAGAAGAGAGAAAGTAGAGAAGAGCAAGGGGGAAGAGGGAAAAGAGAGAGAGCAGAGAAGGAAGGCAGAGGGAGGCGGGAGAGAGAGCAACAAATATGATTCTCTCAAAAATACTTCCTAAGTCAGGAATCAGTAAAATCTAAATTTTACTAATTTAGATTCTTTCCCCACCCCAAATTCTGAATGAAGAAGTAGTATTGAGGCTCAGCACCTGTAGCTTAAGTGGCTAAGGTACCAGTCACATACACCAGAGCTAGCAGGTTTGAATCCAGCCTGGGCCTGCCAAACAACAACAACTACAACCAAAAAATAGCCAGGTGTTGTGACAGGTGCCTGTAGTCCCAGGTACTTGGGAGGCTGAGGCAAGAGACTCAGGTAAGCCCAGGAGTTGGAGGTTGCTGTGAGCTGTGACACCATGGCACTCTACCCAGGGTGTCTCAAAAAATAAATAAATAATAAATAGTGTTGAGTTTTAGATACCCACATCATAATGTTCATAAGAAATATCTCATTCTGGAAGCCCACTATATGGAAAGATTAGATTTTCTTACGTTCTGTCTTGGAAAGTTCTTTCTTTTTAGACAAGGTCTCATTCTGTTGCCCAGACTAGGGTGCTGTGACATCATCATAGCTCACTGTAGCCTCAAATTCCTGGGCTCAAGTGATCCTCCTGCCTCAGGCTCTTTGAGTATCTGAGACTATAAGAACCTGCCATATGCGTGGCTGAGTTTTTATTTTATTTTCTTGAGAAACAAAGTCTTGCAATTATTGCCAGGCTGGTCTTAAACTCCTGGAGTTGAGCAGTCCTCCCTCCGCAGCCTCTCAAGAGTGCTGTAATTACAGGAGTGGCCCACCATGCTGCACCTAGTTCTGGCTTCAAATTTTCATTTGGTTTGCAATTTTTCGATCTGTTCTTAAGAGCTGGGATCTTGCCCTGTTGCCCAGGTTAGCCTCAAACTCCTGGCATCAAGCAATCCTGCTTCAACCTCCCTAGTCACTGGAATTACCTGCATGAGCCACTATTCCCAGCTTCTGGTTTGCAATCTGATACATTTCAATAATCCTATATGAAAAATAGGTTTGAAAATTTCTTAATCTTAACTCATACAGAACATTCTGCTTTCCAGTTAGACTTTTTAAAGAGCACAGAGTAAAGTAGGCCTTGAGTTGCATTAAGTGAAATCATTACTACTCTGCCCTTGCCTTGGTTCTTCAGTGTTCACAAGAAATTTAACAAAACTTTATTTTTAAAGGAATTTTGCTCCCTGGGGTATTAGATGGGACAGTTCAAAAGTGCACACACATAGGTGGATTTGCTTGGAAGCCAAAGAAACAAGTTATCAAAACAGTGGGGGCAAGGCCTGTGGTTCAGTGAGTAGGGCACCGGCCCCATAAACTGAGGGTGTTGGGTTCAAACTCGGCCCCAGCCAAACTGCAAAAAAAAAATAATAAGCCGGGCATTGTGCTGGGCGCCTGTATGTAGTCCAGCTACTCGGGAGGCTGAGGCAAGAGAATCACCTAAACCCAGGAGTTGGAGGTTGTGAGCTGTGACGCCACGGCAGTCTACCAAGGGTGGCGATAAAGTGAGACGCTGTCTCTAAAAAAAAAAAAAAAAAAAAAAAAAACCAGTGGCTACTTTTTAATCACCCCGTTAGTAACCGTTATTGAGGTAGGCATTGCAGAGTTTACATAAGGAAGGCAGTGGGCAGAAAGCACCTGCGGAACCTGAAACTTCATAACCTAGTTAAGGAGCTGAAACCACAAGAGGGCTAGAAGGCGGTATAGGAAAAAAGGGACTAGAAAATAATGGAAATCCAGGACAGAGAAATGCTTCCTGGAGCTAGAGTTACTCAGAGCTTCGAGGCCGAGGCTTTGAGGTGACTCTTAAGGCATAAGGACGTAAGGCCAAATGTTCAAAGATGACTACAGCAGAGGAGGAGAAGGAGAGACAAGAAGAGAGTCAGGTCAGTAAGTCGGAGGGAGGGCACCCAGGGAAGAAGACTTTCACAGGAGCTAAAAGGTAATTTCTTTTTGTTTTTTTGTTTGTTTGTTTGTTTGTTTGTTTGTTTTTGGCGAGGGCTGGGTTTGAATCCGCCACCTCCAGCATCTGGGGCCTGCGCCCTACTCCTTTGAGCCACAGGCACCGCCCCTAAAAGGTAATTTCAAGAAAGAACAGGTGTGTGTGAAAGATTAAATGTGGTCACTTTTTGCCCTTCATCCCACCAAGAGGTCTGTTTCTTCACCCTTGAATCTGGGCCGGCCTTGGGACTTGTACTGGCAGTAGGAAGTGGTGGAAACAACACCATGGGAGCTCCAGAAGGTCAATCTGCCTTCAATACCGCGGGGTGCTGCCCACGCCTGCCATGCGAGGAAGCCACACAGCCTCCCCCAGGAGGAGAACTGAAGTTCCCCACGGGCGGCCAGCACCTGCTGCCAGCTGTGTGGTCACATCCTGTGTGTCCGTGGGCCCTCCTGCTGGTGGAGCCACAAATAGGGCCAGGAACGAAGCAGAGGCACCACGCAGGCAAATCAAAGAATCATAGCAAATAGTAGTTTTAAGCCACTACACGAGGGGTGCTCTATTGTAACTGATGTGAAACAGGTAGAAAGAAGGAGGGGAAACAAAGGAAGATTCATAGATTGGCAAGTCGTTGGCGTCCCACCATCTCAGTTCTGGCAAAGGCCTGACTCTGTCAGGAATGTTGCCAGTTTATAGATGGATACATCAAGTTATCAAAGTCTGGGGCCATTCATGATTTAAATCATGTATCGCTAATTAAGCATCTCATTTAGATTCTATGGTCACCAAGAAATCCCGTCATTTGGCTTCAACATAGAGCCAGACAATGTGTTGGTCAGGCCAACGGTGTGTCCAGCCTTCCTGGAAATTATATTTCTCATTGTAAATGAATCATTTTCATTTTATTTATTTATTTTTTATAAAACAGCCTCATCTGGAACAAAAATTTGCCCTATAATTTGATATTTACCCATGGCTGGAATTGAGAGAATTTTTTCTACTTTTTCTCAAACACAAAGTGAAAATTTTCTACAGTCCTACTTCCTATCACCCCTGAGTATACCAAGATTAACAATTTGGCCAATACCCACACATAAACACACATATGCCTGCCATCAAGTCGCCTTCAGTTAAAAGCTGAAGAATCCCCACGCCCGCAGTATCTGTACTCATAAACATTTCTCTCCAGCGTTTCAAAAGTATTTTTAAAAGAAAATCACAAACTGTAAAACTGTCATTTTCTCTCGTTAAAAAACTCAAGAACAAGTATCCCTACATTTCTGAGTGAAATGATTTAATCCTAGGAAGAATAACAAGTTCTCCTTCATTCCTAGCCCCTGTGTGTCACCTCTTCCCCCAAGCTCCGGTTTTGGCACTTAAACTAAAAGAAATACTAGCAGTTAGTACTAAAAGAAAAGGGAGTTTCCCAGGGCCCACTTCTTAAATTGTTTTACTTTTAAGTTAAATTGTTTAAACGGCCTTTCCATGTGAAATTTATTTAACTAGTTTTCTAAATGTCTATTCACATAAGAAATATGTTAAAGCCCAAGAATTTTTCTGCTAATCCTTCCTTCAGCAAGTGTTTGGAGCTCAGAGACCTAAAAGTCTGATAGAGATGGAAGGGCTGAGGCCCCAGGTATCCTAAGATCTACACAAAACCCCAAATAAACCTGAGTTGGGGAGCCAGAAAGATGGAAGAGGTTCTGCAATGATTACTATGAAGAGTTTTGAAAGTTTAGGCGGGATACTGTGGCTCATGCCTGTAATCCTAACACGCTAGGAGGTTAAGGTGGAGGGAATACTTGAGCCCAGGAGTTTGAGACCAGCCAAAGCAAGAGCAAGACCCCATCTCTACAAAAAAATAGAAAAATTAGCCAAGTGTAGTGGCAGGTGCCTCCTACTCGGGAGGCTGAGGCAGGAGAACCATGTGTGCCCTGGAGTTTGAGGTTGTGGTGAGCTATGATGACACCACTGCACTTTAGCCCAGGCAACATAGTGAGACTGAAAAAAAAATGATCTCACCTAATAAGCACAATATGAAGGCATATGGAACACCTCCTGGGTGAGGGGCACAACTACAACTTGTACTCTACCTAATAAATGCAAACAATGTAACCTAGTTATCTGTACCCTCGTACTAATCTAAAATTTTTAAAAAATTCACTTGTTAGAAAGCAATAGTTATTTGACTGCTTTAGCTGAACCACCCAAATTAAAGACAAGGCAGGAAAATCAGAATTATGCCTTGAGACGTGCACCAAAGAGAATATGCTAAAATAACTCCAGGCATCATTACTTAGTATACATAAAAGCTGCGTTTTTGACCAGAGTATTGCTGAGAAACTGACACGCCGAATACTTACGCTTTTGCCAGCTCCATTGATATTTGTTCCAAAGAACATCCCTTTGTCTCAGGTATAAACACAATGACGAAAACCAGGGCAGCCAGGCTCATGATTGTATATATAAAGCATACCCAGGGCAGCCCAATAAGGTCTATAAAGGACAAAAAAAATTGATTAGAAATGTGTTTTGTGATCACCTGATCTCATTTGTGAACAACCACTTCTTAAGGAATTTATCAAGCCTTATGTACTTTCAGACATGTCAGTAGTACTCAGGCAAGTAGGAATCACAAGTTTAAAATGTAGCAAGTTCTGGCTAGATGCCTGTGGCTCAAGCATCTAAGGCGCCAGCCACATACACCTAAGATGGCAGGTTTGAATCCAGCCCAGGCCTGCCAAACAATAATAATGACTACAACCAAAAAATAGCCAGGCGTTGTGGCGGGTGCCTGTGGTCCCAGCTTCTTGGGAGGCTGAGGCAGGAGACTCGCTTGAGCCCAGGAGTTGGAGGTTGCTGTGAGCAGTGAGGGCACAGCACTCAACCCAGGGGGACAGCTTGAGGCTCTGTCTCAAAAAAAAAATGTAGCAAGTTCTGAAAGTTTTTTTTTTACAGACTACCCCAGCTTTCTCTGGTAAAGTAAATAGAAGTCTTGTGGGTATCACAATTTAAGCCCAATGCCATCTTCTTGGTGGACATATCTTTCTTTTTCAAAATGGTAATATGTTTATTATTTTAAAAGCACAAGCTCACTGCCAAGGAGAACCTCAAGCATCGCAAAACAGAATTCAGCAGGTAAAACATCTCTTCTCGGGTGGCACCTGTGGCTCAAAAGAGTAAGGCACCGGCCCCATATGCCGGAAGTGGTGGGTTCAAGCCCAGCCCTGGCCTAAAACTGCAAAAAAAAAAACCATCTCTTCTCACCCTCCCCAAGTGCCCCCTTAGGAGTCACCACTATAGCAGTTTAGTTTCTATTTGGCGGACATTTTTAATGACATATTTGTACAAATGGAATTTTTTTGGAATTAATTGATTTGAATTAATCATTTACTCTGATTTGAATAAATCATTTCATGCTGGCAATATTTTGTCATTTTTAATAGCCAGCATTGTGTTTGTAATATTTCATCCTGGGTTCAGAGGAAAAAAAAGTGATGACAGGTCCAAGGAAAAGCATCAACTTGCCAAGATGCATCGGCAAGAAGCAGGGTCCTCGAGATGCTGACAGATCTCATCTGCCAGCCTAGAGTTTCCTCTGACCACCTCTGGACAAAGATAGAGTCCCTCTTTAATCACAAACCAAGTCAAGGAACACAAAACTGGGGAGCAGTGGCCTTCAATGCCCTGGAGTCTGCCACTTGCATTGTTCTAGCCCCTGGCTTAGCTCAGAAAGTCTGGTGTGGCAGGAAGTCTGAGAAAGTAGCAGGCTTTTTTTTTTTTTAACATAAGCTCAAACCAACAGCAAACCATATTTACAACTAGCCCTAAAAGCTGCCTCTGCAGGTCCCAGCTGGTCAGGCAGGAACACCGACTGGGCAGTTGTGCACGGAGGCAGAGTTTATATGCACTGTGGATGGGCCCAAGATGGTGAGCACTCGTCAGTGAGTTGTGCTGAGGTGGGAAGCAGGACAAGGGCAGCATCGCAGTTCTTTGGGCAATTTTAATTAAACTCCCATCTCTCTGCACTTGGCTTACTGCTGGCATAGGGTTTTGCTCAACTGATTGCTTAAAAAAGTGCTTACAGAACCGGGCCTTCTTCCCTCTCTGGAGCATAAAGTCAGTAAAAATTCCCCAAGGTGATCTCATCAAACCTGTCCCGGTTGTTTGAGCACTTTGAATAACAGGGAACTCACCACTGCACAAAGTCTCTCACCACCACGCGAGGCAGCTCTATCTGTTACAAACCTACCTGTTTTTTTACTTAGATCCCAAGTCTGCCTTTCAGAGGTCCTGCTTTGTCCTCTGGCATGACACACGTTGAGTCAGCGCTCCCTACCCCTTCTCCAGGACAACCATTTAAATATTTGAGTGCACCTCATTCCATCTCTGAGTATCCTCTTATCTAATCGAACATTCTGAACTCTTCCAACCGTTCTTCACAGAGCACAGGTCACTGCTCTCATCACTCAGGCTGCTCTTCTTTGGTGAAAGCTGCTATTTTTAAACAGCCCCCTCAAAATGGGAGGGTTTACTCAGACCCTCGCCTGTGTCATGACCCCTGCAGAGTGCACTTGTCTGTCTGAACGCCTGCTTGTATTGACACACCTGAAATGGCATTGAAAGATTGGTATCCAAGGCCTCGCTGCCAAGGAGAACCTCACACCTTTTAGGTCTCTCTATCCCACACAGGGAAAACTGATTTTTGGAAATAATTAGAAAACTTCAAGCCTTCCAATTAAACATCATCTAGAGGTTTTAGATCATTCAAAGCTGTCTTTTTTTTTTAAAGTGGGTCTGTTTTCTTACCATTTGTTCTAAAAGCCCAGGCAGAAGAACTGAGTTTTCATTAGCTCATTCAATATATTATTCATAGCTAGGCTTCCCAGAGTGTTGCATCATCTTTTTTCTCCCCCCAGCATTTCCATTCCTTTATATCTTTCTCCATGCAAACAGCAGATGGAGTGTGTGTGTGTGTGTGTGTGTGTGTGTGTGTCTGAGGGAGAGAGCACCGGTGAAGGCCTGTGTCTAAGTGTGTGATCTATATAAGACAAGTGTGGACAAAGCTAACGCCAACTTTGCTGTGTCCTTCAATCTTGGCCTTTTTCTAAAAGTGTAGGACGTAAGCATTTGAAATGGCTATGTAAAAACCCAAACCATGCTTAATTGGCAACTCCAAAAGTTAATTTCCCAAAGGGGATGTACTAAATACACACGTACATTATAACATTGTGTGTGTGCGTGTGTATATATGTGCACCTTTGTTTGAGCAAACATCTAGTTTTGAAAATTATATATATGGGTAGTTGGGAAGCCGGGTAGTCCTTAGAAGCCTAGTGGGAGTGGCGCAGAGCTGCCGGAGGTCTCGAGAACCTCATTTGTGGCATGCCAGAATATTTAAAAAATGACCACACCAAACAAAACACCTCCTGGTGCGGACCCAAAGCAGTTGGAAAGGACTGGAACAGTACGGGAAATTGGGCCAAAAGCTGTTTGGTCACTCTCATCGCCTAAGCCCAGGAGTTGGAGGTTGCTGTGAGCTGTAATGCCACAGCACCCTACCCAGGGGAACAGCTTGAGGCTCTGTCTCAAAAAAAAAAAAAACCTTAAGGTGGGATGGGGGTGGGATGGATGGAGATGAAACCTATAAATTATGATATGTCAATCAATTGTAATTATCTATTTGGGGTGTGATTCAAGCAAACAACATATAAAAAATTATGAGACAACTGGAAGAATGTGAATCCAGACTGAATATTTGATACTAAAGGATGATTATTAATATTTTAGGTGTGATAATGATATTGTGTTATATGTGTTTAAGTGTCTTATCTTTTGAAGGTTCATGCTGAAACTTTATAGACAAAATGATATTGTGTACAGGATATGATGCAAAGTAATTTGGTAGAGGGACCAGCGGGGGGTTATAAATGAATTAAGATTGAGAACTGCTCAGATTTGGTCACAGGCATGTCAGGGGTGTGGCCATTTTCCTTTCTTCTGCATGTGTTTGAAATTTCCACAGTAAAATGGGTTTTCAGGGACTGTGCTTGCCTATCATTTGTCCTCTGAGAACGAAAGAGGAAAACAGAGAGATCTTACCGGTTACGGTCAAAAACGTCAAGGAGACGAGGAGATTGATGCCCCAGTTCATGCTGGATGTTAAAGCCATGGCTCGTCCTCTGATCCCACCAGGAAAGATCTCGCTGAGCACCACCCAGGGCACTGGAAGAAAGGGGAGAGTCGATGACAGCCAAATTAGCAAAACTCCTTGGAATCTGAGGGCCAGTGCTTCGAGCTCTCCCCACCCTTATTCTGCCTGGACTTGTGGCTGAGGAGCAAGGCCATTTCCTACCTAAGCAGGACAGGACAGAAGAGAGATGTGCTATCTTCAGCCACACCACCTTGAACACACCCTCTCTTGTCCTATCTTGGAAGCTAAGCAAGGTCAGGCCTGGTTGGTACTTGGATGGGAGGAAAGGGATGTGCTTTCTCTACACCTTCAGCCAAGGGATTCAGGAGAAATGCTAGGAGAGACTGACCAAGGTCCCCATGCATAGCAGGAAGGCCATGAAGTCCTGGTATCTGACACGGGACTGAGAGATGCCAATGGGAGGTGTGGGGGCTTGGGCTACCTGCCTGGCAGCAAGAAGAATGCCAGCTTTGGGTGACCGCCAAGCACAGGAGCCTCAGTGCCAAAGCCCAGCTGGACCTGCTACAGGACTGTGCCCTTGCCTGTAACCTCCTTTCCCCTGACCTTGGAGAAGTCAGAACTTGCAACTAATGAGTGGATAGGAAACAGCCAGGGCGTGAAGAGGAAGCCAGCTTCTAGCCTGGACCAAGCTGCGTGGAGAGAAGTTCTGAGTTAAACAGAGCTCCAATATTTGATTATATTGCACCAGACTAGACAGGAGAATTTGCAGAAAGAGAATCTTCTTGGCACCAAAATTGATAAGAGGACTTTTCATTATCTGAGAGTGACAGAGAACATTACAGGGCCTGCCTGATGGGATTAGGAAGGCAGTAGAGGACCAAATTTAACTTGTCCTCTGCTCACGGCCTTTCAAACCCCGTTTTCCTGATAAAGCAGCTATGAGTTCTCACTGTGGGCTGACTTCACAAACATTTTTTACAACATTCTCGTATTGGATCCTTACAAATCCCTGCAAGTAGGAACTATTACCATCCCTCTTTTCTAGAAGAGGAAACTGAGGCTTAGCAGCATAACTCCAAGGTCACAGAGCTCCTACCTGACAAAGGTGGCATTATCCATGGCAGCCAGTCTCTGGAACTCAAAGCTTTTTAATCACTGTGTTCTCTTGATACTGGCTCAGTAAATATTTGTTAATTAACAATATAAATGTGGATATAAGCTCTTTGATTGTGTGGAAGGACGGACGTGAGCCCTGCCCCAGCCCTGCTCACTGCCAACTGCTGTGGAAAGCCATTGTTTATATACCAACCAGCTGTATGATCCTAGCCCAGGAGAGGGAATAGGAGAGTGACACTAGAAGCCAGGGAGGGGCCCTCTGGGCAGCAACCACTTGGGCCCCTCATATCAGAACCACGCAGTCAGCTTTGCCTCTCACAGAACCGTTTGCCTCTCATAAAGCAAACATCTGTGTGGAGAAAACTTGCTGTTTCAAAGTAAGAAAAACGACAATGAAGTGTAAAAGAAGACAAGAAAAATACTGTTTTTCTTGATTATCTCCTCCGAGTGAATCTATGTAGGTTTACCTTTAGGCATGGAAAACCATAGCAATATAATTATAGTTGTATCAATTAATGGGAAATTCAAAAATTGAATTCCAAATGTCCCACCCTCTAACCACAACAATCATTCCCAATCCCTCTTCACCCCAAGAGGCTTTCTCTAGGCTCTTGCAGATTAAATCCTTGGTGGAATGAATCACTTTTCTCCTAAGAAGACAAGTTTTGTGCTCAGGTAAGTCTGTCCTTACTTTGCAAGACCATGGAGGATCTAGTTCTGGGTAGAATGATATCCGTATAATTCTGGTGAAGCAATACACAGAATGAATCTGTATAATTGTAATGAAGACCTATCCCTTGGCAGATTCAAGATAAAATTATATGAATCACACTTTTAAGCTAAATAATCTCTGCGGTAGACCTCTCCCACCCCCACCCCCCCACCCCACCCCCGTCCCCAGTTCCCATTTCTGCCCTGGGTCTTTGACACAGTCAGATGGAGCGGAGAGTCCCTTGTGGTCTTTCCCTTTAGGAGTACAAGGAGGATGAGGGGGCAGTGGCACCTTTCATTTGCTTTTAGTAGAAAAGTTAGCTCATGCTTTCTTGATCTACCTGCCATCCCCGCCTCATCACCTCTCAAATCCCCTTCTTCTCCTCTCTACCTTTTATCGTTGTGACCGCTTGGAATTATTTGGTGGAGTGTCAGGAGAACCATTGCTGGGCTCTTTAGAGCCACCCTGGTCTCAAATGGGAACGTGTCGATGCTGATGTTATAGGAAGTGCTGAATCTCCTCAGCAAGAAAACAAGGCAGTTGCACAAAGCCCTGATTATATGTGCTCAGTCTGAACTGCCCGGGGCTTGCCTAAAAAACTTCAAGATCCACATTGCAGCCCTGTCCTAGGCAGACATTCACCGTAGCAGCTGAGCCAAGGGCCACAGGCAATTTAACCAGTCAGTGAACAGTGACCTGAATTTGAAAGTCTTTTATTGATCACCCCATCATACATCTCTGAAAAAAAAAAAAAAAAAGCCTTATGTTCATTTTTATTTACTCTAAAATCTTCTTTTTTATTTTTATTTTTTTTGCAGTTTTGGCCGGGGGCCGGGTTTGAACCTGCCAGCACCCTAACCTTTTGAGCCACAGGTGCCACCCACTCTAAAATCTTCCAAGGATTTTTCTGAATTATTAGCAAAATAATTAGCAGAAAATAGATAGAAATTATAGAAATAGTTTAGAAATTTTAGAAATAATTATTTTTTTCAAGTTTTCAGACAGAGCATTGAAGAAATAATTATTGAATATGAACAGTGAAAATTTATTAGAAATCGCCTTCCTAAGTGAGATGGATGGGGAGATTTTTCTTCATTACCTATCTGTGGGTGAATGTCATTTACAGCATAATGTGATACATTTCTACTTTTCAAATGGATGAAATTCATTGTCTTTCAGATAGATGGAGAGTTGAAGAAATTTTGTGATACCCAATGTCACTCAATTCTTTGAATTAACAGCAAAAGTGATTTGTAACAATTAGGTGTTGTTTTTCTTTTTTTTTTTTTGCTGGTTTTGAAAGCAAATTATTGAGAATAGTTTGATTTGTGAAAAGACCATTCTCTACTCATTAATTTTTCAGCACCTTCACCAATATTTTCAGTTGTCTCTTTGATTAGCGTTTTAGCTTTTTGTAATTTGGGACATTTATCAAAATCAGATTTCAGATGGGTAATAAATGTGCTTTTTTTTTAAAAAAAACAAAAGATGTTTTTATTGCTCTAGTCACTTAGGATATAACAAGGCTTACAGGAGCTGAGATTCAGGAATCATGGACAAAAAAAATGCAGGCATATCTATTTTAATATCACAGAAATTGTAAGGCATTCAAATTTTATATCTGAACAGGAAAAACAAAAGTATCTAACCCTTTCAGACAATAAGCAGGTCATTTAATTATGGGATTTGTTCTCTGCTAACAAATCAGTTAGCAAACAATCATCTGTGAACATATCTAGGAGCTGCCAAATCCAATCGCATAGAATTTGTTTGTAAACTCCAACATCCAGGTAACAGGACACACTGTCATAAATTCTCCAACCTGCACAACGCACACTGACATTTTGGTAAATCTTTGTAATTCATTAATTTTTCTACCACTTTCTCGTGGAAATGTATTCTTTTTTTTTTTGAGACAGAGTCTCACTTTATTGCCCTTATTAGAGTGCTATGGCATCATTGCTCAAAGCAACCTCAAACTCTTAGGTTCAAGAGATTCTCTTGCCTTAGCCTCCCAAGTAGCTGGGATTGCAGGCGTCCACCACAACACCTGGAGACTTTTAGAGACAAGGCCTTGCTCTTGCTCAGGCTGGTGTCAGACTCCTGAGCCTAAGTGATCCACACGCCTTGTCCTCCCAGAGTATTACGATTACAGGTGTGAGCCCTGCAGATGGCCTGAAATGTAGCATTCCCAAAGTTAAGCCCTGGAATTCCATTGAAAATTGCCTCCCAATAAAAGATACCTTCAAATAAAAACCAAAACATTGAAGATAGTGCAGTGACTTGCACCTATAATCCCAGAACTTTGGAAGCCTGAGGTGGGAGGATCACTTGGGGCTAGGAGTTTGAGACCAACCTGGGCAACATAGTAAGACCTGTCTCCACAAAAAAAAAAAAAAAAAAATTAGCCAGCATGATAATTAAGTGTGCTTTCTTTTAAGTGGGAGAACAGTTACAACTGGGCAGATAAAGGGGAAATATTTTTCAAAACAAATTTTCTTGACCTCGAAGCTGTGGACATTGATTTCCTTTGAATCATTATTGCAGGAGTACTTTTTAGAAAGTGAACTCTCAGCTCGGCGCTTGTGGCTCAAGTGGCTAATGTGCCAGCCACATACACCTAAGGTGGTGGGTTCGAATCCAGCCCAGCCCGCCAAAACAGCAATGATGGCTGCAACCAAAAAAAAAAAAAAAAAAATAGCCAGGCACTGTGTGGGTGCCTATGGTCCCAGCTACTTGGGAGGCTGAGGCAGGAGACTGGCTTGAGCCAAGTTGGAGGTTGCTGTGATGCCATGGCACTCTACCCAGGGGGATAGCTTGAGGCTCTGTCTCTAAAAAAGAAAGTGAACTCTCTAGAGTATGCAAATCACTGAACTAGAGTCCAAAATGCAAAACCAAAAAGGAAGGACAAGATAAGAAATGCGTCTTTTCTAATTTGAACTATCATATCTTCAGAGGTCATATTTTACGTTGTACAGATTTCATTACTGATGCTTCCATTAGAAAAGTATTATGATTTTT